GTTATCAAATCAATTTTTGGGTGAAGAGTCTGGAGAAAGAAGAGTTGGTGCTTTATGCAACAAAGACAAATTTAATAGTTATTTGTATACCAAGGCCGCGAAGTGCCTTTTAGCGTACGTAGAGAAAAGTTATCGCCGAGGCCGCTTGCGGCCGAGGCAAGATAATCTCGAGGACGCTAAAAAGTTTCGCGGTCATGGTATACACACTATTTTTTGTGCAACCATGAAAATTATGTGGAATTATAGAAAAAATGTACTCCTTTCAACAAACATGTGGAACTAATTACCAGTTTGATGTATAACCTGGTGGCTATGGTGGCACAGCGTTTCCATGGATGTCATGGATGACATATTTTGCAAGTAAACAAATACACAAAAAATTTTGACGGTTCTCAAAAAATCGTGAAAATATCCGACAGCGATACAGATGTTTCACTCTCTTGCACTCCTCCAGAGCTAAAAAATATGGTTCAATCAGCTATTTCTGAGTTAATACCTGGAAAACTAAGCGGCAATATGAAAATTGTTACTGCGAGTTCAAAAAATTGGTGTGACAAACAAAACGTCAAAATGGTGTCTGAAAGCATATTGGCTAATTTAATGCCGAAATGGGAAGTTTTGAGAGTTCAATTCAAAAACACTGGATTATTAGTTGCTTCAGCTTCAGGAGTAAATATTAGTAATAATGCAAACTGTCATGTAAGTGTTAATATTTATCCTAAATAATTTATGTTGTTCTGAAGAATTTGGAAATAAAATTTACTTATTGTTGTTGTCAAAGTGTCAAATTTTGATTTATAGTTTGGCGGCCGTCACCAAGGGCAACGGCCGCGAAATTGAATTTCGCGGACTGTGTGGCGGCCGCGAAAGCTCATTTTGCGAATGGTTGCACAAAAAATATTTTTAAGATACGTGGGTGACCCGGAATTTCAGGCAGGAGTAGGCGAGGATGTTGGTGTTCACCAAACTTCGGTGTCTAAGTTGTATCGGAAGTAGCAAGTAGCTGATAAGATAATTCAGCAAAGTGGACGGTGGATCAAATTTCCCCGCAGTCCTGCGGATATAATCCATTCACAATCCGATAATATGTCCACAGGTACAGGTAAAATGTTCAAATTCAATGCTATTTGATAGGGAAAGGTGATATATTTACCCCGTACCTGTGGACATCGGATTTTGAATAGGATATAGAAGCGAAAGAGCGGTGAGAAGCAAAATAAAATGTTGAGTATCTACTTTATGTACTAGGAGTATGTACTTATTAAACCAAAATCTTTTTTATTCTTACGAAATGGAGTATAAGCTCAGACTTCATACTCATGCTCACGAGTATATACTCCGAGTTTATACTCAGTTTTTATTCATACCACCCATTGTCTACATGCGGCGTAAACAATATTTTATTATAAAAAATTCGAAAAAAAATATCAAAAGTTAGTATAATATCACTATCACTTCGATATTAGCATTCACTGATTATAAAATATCAGAAAAACCAATAATAAAATAAAAATAATTTAAAAAAAGGAAAGTGTGAGGTTAGAATTAAACGTCATTTATTTTACATTTTGTTGACACGTTGTCTACATTGTCTACATTATCTACACGTAAAGTAGACAATGAAAGTCTACGTGTAGACGCACATCCCTGGTTGAAACCAGGGATGTGCGCCTACACGTAGACTTTCATTGTCTACTTTACGTGTAGACAATTGTAGACAAGTAGACAATGTAGACAATGTAGACAACGTGTCAACAATGTAAAATAATATTAATGACGTCTAATTCTAACCTCACACTTTCCTTTCCGAAAATTATTTTTATTTTATTATCGGTTTTCCTCATATTTATAATCAGTGAATGCTGATATCAAAGTGATAGGTATTAGCTACTTAGGTAGTAGTAATAGACCTATCTATTTTACCAGACAATGAGGTAATAATACGAACACTTTATTAGATAGAAAAAGACGCAGAACGTTTATTGCGCAAGACGAGGCAAAACGTACCAAACCATGTTAGACTTATGTATAGCAATCCCTTCTTATTATTTGCACGGGATAAAAAGGGAAGGAGGAAAATCGCGTGACGTGCAACGTATTTGTCAATCAAAAACACAAACAATTGAAAATCGATCACTTGTCAAGCTGCGTCAAGTTATTTATTAACCATAATTCTGATCCTTGTCAGACCACGGGCAATGAAAAAGGACAAAGAGATGCCCAGCGTGCAAAACGAATACCTCTCACCTGTACTAGTTAGCCAATAAAATTGCATTGCCTCGTGTTGCGCGCGCATACAGGTAAAAATAGATAGGTCTATTTTGGATCTTTTTTTTAAATTTTCTAAAATGAGTTTATTGTTTACGCCACATGTAGACAATCTGTAGACAAATGCCCACGTAAATAATTCGAATTGTCTACGCGTAGACAATCAATTGTTTACGTTGACATTGTCTACAGGCACATCACTGGTTGATAGGGTTGCCACCTCTTGATTTCCGAAAACCCGTACATAATCCAAGGTAACTTTTTTTGTGGCATAAATCACAATCATATCTGTAATAGTATATTATATACCGAGGTGGAAAGTGTTTCATTACTGTCGAGAGATTTTAGTTAGACCTCGGCTGCGCCTCGGTCTAACTAAAATCTCGAGTCATTTATACTTACGGCCCACAGGAGGAAAGTAGACTTTCGACCCGTGGGCCGAAAGTAAAAGTCAAAAAATACATTAAATTTTAAAAATTTCATTTACTTTCGGCCCACGGGTCGAAAGTAAAAATCAAAAAAGTGACATTGTTTCAACCTTTTCAAAAGTCAGTAAAGTCAACATTACCTGTATGATTATGAATTTTTAGACAAAAATTAAAAAAGGTACCTACCTAATTTTAGACGCCACTCCTTGTAGTTACAGTTACTGTCTATTTTAAAATAAAATTAAAAAAAATAGAGACACTTGTAAGTGAACAGGGAGAACATCACAATACATACATAATTAATTGTTTTTTTAGGCATAAAAGCACAATATTTAAGGTCGCGGCTGGTGTTTCATAGCCGAAGGCGAAGCTAGGAAACCAGCCAAGGCATTAAATCTGATCTTTTGTCATGTGAAGCATATCATTTTTTCTCCGAATTTGTTACAATTTGACGTATAATCCACTTTTTTATATTTATTAATTGCGCTGATAACGTTTGTTGAATGGTTAGCAACGAATTTTTCTGCCTCGGCAGAAAAAGTCCACTTTTCGGTCGCTAACTGGAAATCGGAGCCGTTCGTGACACACCCGTCATTCAAAAAGTAGGTACGCTTCGAAATTAGGTAGGTATATCCCAAGAATCGTAAACTCTACAGGATTGCTCAATCCCATAAGACAAACGTTCATAAAAACCTCGAAGATGGCGGTATGCGAATGACGTCACGCAGTCCTTGATCGGTTTGTGTTTTTTATGACAGTGCACTATCCTTGCATTTTCAAACGTGAAAAATTGTTATTTTGAGGTTATTTCCTTTGAAAACTGTATTTTGTAATTAATTTATTGATTTTAAAATTAGCAGACTTCAAAAGCTTGTGTCCTTGAGGCTTGAGTGGTTGGCTAATTGCTAATTAGAAAGACGAGTTTGTTTGCTTTTGTTTATCAATTAGCCAAACATATTGCCAAAAAGTCAAAAAAACGAAGGGCTGGAGTCAAGCTGGCCCCCGTTTCAATGTTTTTTTTGTGTATGAAAATGAGCAGCATAAATACTGGCACAATTGAGCACAAAACGGGCACAATTGACTACAGTTGAGAAACAGTAGAAAACCAAATGTGCAGTGCCGAGCCGGTTTAATTTTTGCATTTCAATATCAAAATATAAGGGAAACGGGGTTGCAATAGTGTGCTTTATTTTTTACTGACCCTACCTAGGTGCTTCTCAATTATTATTCATTAATTTAATAGGTACTAGAACGATTTAATATGGACATTCAAAGTGAGCTTATTTCACAAAGCCAAATAGTGATACCTAATTTAGATTCTCATAATCATATTCCAGAAAAACATTGCAAGTTTCCCATATTTTCCATGCGTTTTCATAGTAAACGCGCCAGTAAAGGAATTTATTTACATATTTATTTATTCACTCTTCACAAACCCTAATTTTTATCAGTAATTACATGCAAAGGAAACTTACAACTAAGTAGATATTTGATTTATAAAAAAAAGCAAAACAAATGCTTGACTAGGAAATACTAACTAGCAATACACACAAATAAAAGAGCGATGTCCTGATACAACAAATCCAGTCTTATAAAACCAGAAAATGCTTGGGGTTTTCGCGAGTATTTTTTTTTAGCCACGAGTCTTTTATGCTTACACACATTAAATGAAACTTTAAATTTACACTTATAACACTAGATAAATCCGAATTTACGATAAAATAGTTGTCAGCACAAACTAAACATCATTCGTATCAGCGGCCATCTTGAAAATCCGGCATGCGCGTGACGTCACAGCAATTGTGAACAAATTTAGCCGATTGAGCAATCCTGTAGAGTTTACGATTCTTGGGTATATCCTAAGGCGTTCAGCAATCGCCTTTAGAAATTTTATATTAAGTATTAATTATACAGTTATCCAGATATTCCCGGACATTTTCATCATACGTCCGGACACCGGACAAACCTTTAAAAAACCGGACAGTCCGGGTGAAAACCGAACAGGTGGCAACCCTACTGGTTGAAACTAGTTTTCTGACTGTTTTCAACCAATGAAATCGCTCTGACTGGTTTGTGATTTCTGCAGAAACAGACCTTGCTTGGTGTATTATCCTTGGCTATAAATAACGAATTTTTTTTATAGACAAACAGTGCCAGATGGTGCGGAGTGTATTTCTTCCTTTCTCGTTCTTCATTTATTAAAGCAGGATAGAGATGGTCAGCGGTTGCACCGCTTTACCATTATTTTTTCTATTTAAATTTGACAATCAGTTGACAGATAGTCGCTGTGACAGTTCGCCAAAGTTGCCAAACTATTTATTGCCGTTTTTGTTTTTTGTACACACGGATATAGGAATGGAGGCTCCGATATTGCCCCCATTTTAATTTGCTTCAAAAACCGTTAATTAGTTTGTTTCAAAGTGATTCCTACCTCTAAATCGATCAGGAAAAAGAGTATCGGTAAGTAAACAATAATCTCGATTAAATTCGTGACAAAATTGGCTCGTTTCCTATTTGCTATATGTGCAGTGCATCGTGCATTTTTTGCCAACAAAAAAATAGTTGCTGATCATCAATTTGCATATTATATTATCAGTAGTTTAGGTTTGTGTTGTTGTCATACGTTATAGTTAATTGTCCTTGCCTATTATCATCAATCTTAAAACCTATTGTCCTTAGCAAAAACGGTTGCAGCTGTGCAAAAGTGCTTACAGCAAAATGTTCCACATTTCAATCAGTCAACATTTTCAGCTACCTGTTTTGGGTTTGAGTTATTGTTATTTTTAGTATTTTTCCTTTTATAAATATACCTAATAATTGTAGGTAATTATTACAATTCAAAAATTCAAATAATTATTGTTGAATTTCATTTAATTAATTAAGTTTAATGTTTCTTGAAGTCCATAAAGGTAGGCAACAAGGAAAGTAAAAGTGTATCAGGTAAAGTGCTCCAGTTTTTCAAGAAGCATGCTACAAAAAATTTAGACAAGTTGTTAAAAGATTTGTTAGAGAGGAAATTTTGATAATAATAATAGAAATCTTAGCATAAGCTAACAAAAATATTTGATAACAAGTACAACATAACTTTTATATACCTACTATGGTTCTCTAGGATACTTGCATGGAATTATCATTAAAGAATCTCCATCATATTTCCGTGGGAAAGAGTACCTACCTATTTAAAAGTCTCTTGCCAAATATGGAGCTCTATGAATAATTATTTTCTGAGAAATTAAAATTGAAAATCACGAGATCCCTTGGATCATCTGTCACTTGTGGAATTGAAATGCCCTTGGAAAATCATGAATATTTTAAATATTCAGAAATTATTTTGATTGGTTTACGCCACTCACAACTCAGTTAAACTTTGCCAAATCCATTTCTATACAGGGTGTATATTTTAAGTGATACCACTATTGCTATATCCGAAACGGTAAGAGCTACAAGGTCGGTTAAATTAGAAAAAAGTTGCCTTTTTTGATGCCCATTCAAGGCTCTTTTACAGTGTTGCCAAATTCCTTTTCGTTTATGAAATACTGGGTGCTTTCTAAGAAACTCCTAAAATATTTCATCAATTATTTCGAAAACTATTGATTTTGGAGACACAATTTGAATTTGAAATTTTTTTAATTTTTTTCGCTCTACAACATGGCATCTTGAAATTTTGTATCCTACGTTTCGTGATCGAGCTACCATCGTCAGCTTTATTTTTTCAAATACGGACCTGGATTTTTATGTCATTTTTAGAAAGCGCATTTCATTCCCTTTCTAATGAAATACCTCTTAAGTGTGATTGGCCGACGTTTCTGCTTCAAAAAGTAATGAAAAGGGATTTTTACCAAAATCTTACCTTAATTCGGCCCTAGTTATGAACCTGTATTTGATAAACTAAAAGGAATTTGGCAACATTGTCTTAAATGGGCATCAAAAAAGTCAACTTTTTTCTAATTTAACCGACCTTGTAGCTCTTACCGTTTCGGATATAGCAATAGTGGTATCACTTAAAATATACACCCTGTATATGTATAAAAAAATTCTATAAATCCATCTCTATAATAATTGTATTAATAGATAAATAAGGAAATATGTTTCCAGCATTGTCGGATTGTCATTTTTTTCCTAGGTAAAGTTGTACCTCGAGTTGTACTATTTGAGATATATTTATATAAATTGGAAAAAACCGTATTTAAATCTATCTATACATACATAAAACACAAAAATGTTTCTACCTAAGTACCCCACTACCTATAGGTATCCGTTCTAGACTTTGAAACCATCCAACCGATGTACTTCAAACCAGTTGAATTTGAAAGGAAATAATGTGAAGATAGTTTAAGACCACTAAAACAGTGCATTATGCACATTCGGTGCATCCATGAAGTTGATTTTCGACTTTTTCCATACAAAAAAGTTTGACCTCATCTCACCTGCAGCTTTCACCTTTTTAGGTAGGACGGTTCACAAAATCTAAGTCAGTAGCAAAGTATTTCTACAATTTTTACAGGCAAATCTACATAAGTATGGGTAGATGGAACAGAGGAAATCATTTTTGTTCTTTATTTAACCTTAGACTTTTTCTAGGCATTTCATTCTATTGCATTAAAATTGGCATTGGCCTGTAAGATGTTCACTTGTCAGACCGGTATATGTAAAACTGATAAAAAATGTTTCTAAGTCCGTCAAGAATTTATTGAAAGAGAAGGCTTACTATGATTTGGCTGAGTACTATGATGACACTTTCTAGAATACTAAAAACTTAATGAGCCACTTTATTTATGACTTAGGGCTGATTTTTGCCGTTTGCTTTTATTAAACCCCCAGTAACTTTTTGTTTATTGAGTGTAACTATCTGTATTATTATTTTTTTTTTTTTTTGATACTTGTTTGTTTCTGGATATTTACAAATTGATTTTAATGGAAATTGGGTAATTATGTATATGTCAAATGTTGTAATATTTGTTGAGTTTATTAGTTTCTGAGCCTGTACGAAAATTGTTGGCCTTAATTGGGCAATTTTTTTTTTATCATGTTATTATTATTGTATTTTATTTTGTTTTTTTGTTTGTACTGCTAAATGTATTGTGCTTTGTCTATAAAAAAATTGTATTTTTTCGACAATAAAGCTTATTGAATCTTGAATCTTGTTATAGGCTTTGAAACCCATCCAACCGATGTACCCGAAACTGGTTTACTTAATTTGAAAGGCAATAATGCGAAGAGGGTCCTTTTTTTCCAACAAATAAACTTAATGTATCGCTGGTAGCAAGTTTTTTCCCAAAAATGTATTTCTCTAGTTAAAATATAAAGTTACTCCTCGAGTTACTCTTAACAAAGTTATTAGAAGAACACGGAGTGGTAAAATTGGCAACATCTTGAATACTCCCACCTATATTGGATTATACTCTGCAAAAAGCGAAAGTTATCTTTGGCGAAAATACCTAAATAAAGTGACGTTACCAGATTCATTTTTTAGATTTAGAGGTAGAGATTTTACAGTTTGCGAAATTCATTTTAAAAGGTAAAATCCTTGGTAAAATCCAACTAATTTATTTTTTTTGTAAAACATATTATATCAATGAACAACACCTGAATCCTCGCCTGAAACTTTATAGGGAATATCGCATTTCCTAAAAAAAATTGGAAAAACTGCTTGCTACCAAGTTAGTGCATGAAGAACATAAACCAATCCTTTTCTGGAATTGCTGCAGAACTAGCAAAAAACATCCCCCTACCAATGCTTTCCCCTCAACTCCAACCAACATCTACTGCCTATATAAATCAGTGGGAACTTGTGACTACAGAGGAGGGTACTGCAGTTATAAATAAATTTATTTTCTACTTAACTATTATAGATTCATAACACCTAGGAAACGAAATACGTTAACATACTTACCTATAACAACCTGAGGGCATTATAAGCCCAGCGGAAGTTATGATCTATAACGCCCGCTAATAACACCCTGAGGTATTTTTGTTGTTGTTGTTTTATTAATTTGCACTATACCCTATGCAGCCACTAAATGTCCGCCCGAAATTAATTTTCGATGTGGCCAGGATTTGAACCTGTTCTATTATCAACGTTTCCCATGTAGTCGAGCGCGTTAACCCACACCACCACCGTTGCCTTGCCTTATGAGATGTTTATATTATCTATTCACAATCCGATGTCCAAAGGTAAAGGTAAAATTTATCACCTTTCAGTGCTATTTGATAGGGAAAGGCTTAGATTATATATAGTTAACACTAAAAGATGATTAATCAACTTCCAAATATGTTACAAAGATCTTTCTCCAAATATTTGGAGGATTTTTTTACTATTTTTCTCGGGTCTCTGAAGGGTCCCCTTATTCGCCATTTTGGAATCACCATGCATACATTGACGATGACGATGGATGATGATACTATGACTCAAGAGAACACGAAAGGAAACATTCCACCTAAAGACGAAATATACTCATTGGATTACCCTTTGTATTCTTATGTCTTCCTTTGTACTCGTATTCAGTGTACAAATTGGGCTGGCGATTGACCCCCTGTCAAAAACTATAAATTGTTTTGGGAAAATATTTAAAAAATGCTATAATTTTTTTACCCACAGAATTGAAAAAAAATACAGGGTGTCCCACGGTGGATGGCGTATTAGACGTTTATGGAGAACTAAAAAGCAGATCATTTTGAAAATTTGGCAACCGGGATAAACGACCATGATCTACCCTTTAAAAATATTTTTGACCATGCGGTGTTGCCGCTTCTACTCTAAACTAGTGGCAACATCACTATTTTAAATGGAACACCCCGTATTAAATTGCATATTTGGATTCTACATAAAATTCTAAGCAGATTTCATGTGATATACCCTATACCTAAGTTCAACTGTTTTGGAAATATTGACAGTTGAAAATTGACTTTTTGCAACTTTGACAGGCTGTAGAACCTGAACGGTTAATTTTAGAGGAAAACCGATTTTACATTCCTATCTTAGATTTTTATAAACTATCATTTGACACCAACTTAGAATTAAATCCATGATTAAAAATTTCAAATGATAGTTTATCAAAATCTAAGATAGGAATGTGAAATCGGTTTTCCTCTAAAATTAACCAATTAGGTTTTACAGCCTGTCAAAGTTGCAAAAAGTCAATTTTCAACTGTCAATATTTCCAAAACAGTTGAACTTAGGTATAGGGTATATCACATGAAATCTGCTCAGAATTTTACATAGAATCCAAATATGCAATTAAATACGGGGTGTTCCATTTAAAATAGTGATGTTGCCACTAGTTTAGAGTAGAAGCGGCAACACCGCATGGTCAAAAATATTTTTAAAGTGTAGATCATGGTCGTTTATCCCGGTTGCCAAATTTTCAAAATGATTCGCTTTTTAGTTCTCCATAAACGTCTAATACGCCATCCACCGTGGGACACCCTGTATATATATAATAAAAAAATGTGAAGTACTCTATTGAAATTAATTAGATCTTTGTAAAATAAGCAATAAGCTATTTTGACCACAAAATGAATTTAGCCTAGATACATACAAATTTAAGGTTGATCTAGTAAGTATCGTTATGTTCGTTTTGTGTTTTGATTTGTCTCTTATTTTATTCCAATTTATCTATTAAAGTTCAATTTGTGAAAATTGGTCTTTGATCATTGGGGTTAATTTGATTTCGCTTGCTATCTCAATGCCAGATTTTCTTTTTCTGTTGAACTATACTTATTATCCCCCCTTATCAATATAAAATAATATACCGGGTGTCTACGAGATCAGTTTCGCGCTGGCATTTGCTGGTTTTTTTTTTCGATGGCAAAGATTTTTGGTATGGAGTGTAGGTTTGAGCAATGTCATCTTTTGACATGTGTCCATGTTTAGTAACTTCCGGTTTGACCGGAAATGGTCCTAACTCCGTAATTTTGAATGGCATCCCAATAATTTTTTCGCATTTTTGGTATCTGCGGATCATGATGTGTACGAAAACGTCAAATTTGAACTTTTTTGAAGAAATTTTAGAACTCTGGATGAAAAGTTATTTTTGAACAGAAAGTGACAGAGCGGTCTTAAAATTGTTATTTTCAACCCACACAATCGTAGAAAAATGCGAGTGCCAAGATGTTATCGTTTGCTTGCTCTCCAAAGGCATCCAAAGTTGGAAAAATCACATTTTGCGTGATAACTCAATGAAATCAGTGAAATCACCCAACTTTCACAACAAGAGTTTTTTACCTTTTTCAAAATAAAACCAACTATGCATTGAAACTTTTCATTTATGTTAGTTTTTAATTATTTTCTTATTATTTTTATAATGCACTACTATAAATGATAAAACTACTTATAAATGAACCCCTGTATGAAGAACGCTTTTCAAAAGGAGCTGGTGTTTTTTTTTTTTCTTGACAAGCCATTGACAAGATCTGTGGGCAAGATATATTTATTTGTCATTGTTTGACATCTCGGGAATTTGTAAATACAAAGTTTGAATACAGGGGTTTATTTATCAGTAGTTTTATCAGTTATAGTAATACATAGTAAAAATATTGGAAAAATAATTAAAAACTGGATGAATAAAAAGTTTTAATGCATAGTTGGTTTTATTTTGAAAAAAGTAAAAAACATTTGTTATGAAAGTCGGGTGATTTCACTGATTTCATTGAGTTATCACGTAAAATGTGATTTTTTCAGCTTTGGAAGCATTTGGAGAACAAGCATAGGATAATAACTTGGCATTCGCATTTTTTTACGATTGTGTTGGTTGAAAATAACAATTTTAAGACCGCTCCGTCACTTCCTGTTCAAAAATAAATTTTCATCCATAGTTCTGAAATTTCTTCAAAAATGTTCAAATTTGACGTTTTCGTACACATCATGATCCGCAGATACCAAAAATGCGAAAAAATTATTGGAATGCCATTCAAAATTACGGAGTTAGGACCATTTCCGGTCAAACCGGAAGTTACTAAACATTGACACACATGTCAAAAGATGACATTGCTCAAACCTACACTCCATACCAAAAATCTTTGCCATCGAAAAAAAAACCAGCAAATGCCAGCGCGAAACTGATCTCGTAGACACCCGGTATAATATGGTGAAACCATGGCTATGTTCCGATATCAACTGCCAGTACTGGATTTACTTTTGCCGTTCCGATTTCAACAGCGTACTTTTGTGGTCATTCAGTACTGAATCGACTGAATCCAGTGTAATATCGGAACGGCGTTCAGTAAATTCAGTACTGACAGTTGATATCGGAACATAGGCAATAACTAAAATAAAATGAGAGAGAACTATTGCTCTGTAATTTCGTCCAAGAACTTAGATACCTATTTCCCTGTTCTAAATAATAAATAAATTTTTATTGATGTGTTTTTTGTTATATACTTAATTTGCATGACTAGATAATGTGTCTCATATTCTATTATTCCTAAATATTGAACCAAGTATTTACCTGTTCGATTTTGCTCTAAATCTTCATTTAATAAGTTTATAATATCCTGCACTGTGCACTTGCACTGTATTACTGTCCACAAAAAGTATAATCTCATTTGAAAACAACTCTATTTTACATTTCTTGATAAAATCATTAAAATAGACTATATCGAGGACTGTATATTATAGAGCACAAACAATTCTGGGCCCAATAATGTTCCCTGAGGAACATCATTACTTCAACTGAAAAACAATGCTTATTCTTTTATCTGTTCCGTGTCCTTCTTTCCAAGTATTTTTAGAACCAATTTAACACACTTCCTTCAAAGCCATAATTCGACTAACTTTCTAATTAAAAATTTTCTATCTATTGTCTCAAAAGCCCTAGTCCTAGAAAACCACCCCCACTCATTTTTTGCTGCCCAATGCAATTTTCCATTTTAGAAATTACTGTCTGTAAGGCACTCTAACAGGAATGTCTGAGCATCAGTAAGAAGCTTATTTTTCTGCACATATTCACATACCACTAGTTTTTTTTATATGGGCAACAACAGTTTTTAGGAAAACATCCAGTTTTTAAACTTTGGTTTATCAATAATTGTATACATTTGTTACCAATACTAGTTTCAGGAATATGAACAAGAATATTGTCAAAACTTTGTACTTTGCCAACTTTAAATTTTATTTACACTAAGATAATGTCTAATCTAAGGAACATGTTTTGGTTGTTGGGCATTTTTAAAAGTGAAAGTTTAGGAAAATAGGATTCTTAATCATGGTTTAAAAACCATGTATGCATTCATTAAACACACAACACATATTTCATCACATGCTGTAAAATCTTTATGGCTCTCCGGTACTATGGTTTTCCTTTTTGTTTGGTATTTCTCCACTCAGTCAGAAATTATTTTCTGCTGATTTAAGGAACCATTTATGGAATTTGTTTTGCCATTCTGGACAAACTGCACAAACAAAGACCTTGAACTTTATACACCAATTAAATCTTTTGGTAAACCTATTCACTTTAGTACATTTCCTATCAAGAAAAGCACAACAAATCAGTTGGTAAATTACCTGATACGCCGCAATAAACACTAATATTGTGGCCCATATAGAAAAAAAAGTCTATTTATGTTATCTGATATTTCCTAAATAACCTTTGTGAAAACTGCGTTAATCTTTCAAACTAGCAAACTTTATTCAACATGGCAATCAGATTATGAAGTTTTCATCATTCAAGAATTTTTATTACAGAACTTTCAACTCCAAAACGAGAAAACTAGTTGAATTGGCATCATGGACTTTGCTATAGGCTATCGTAACAATCACAGGCATCCGCATCATGGTAATCCTAATCATCACCAACACGGTAATCCTAGGCATCATCAGCAACGTGGTAATCCCAGGCATGAACATAATAATCCTAGGCATCAGAACCAGCTACAAAGCGCTCCTAGGCTTCAGCCACAGGCTCCGATATGTTATTTCTATCAAAGAGGAATCTGCAGATTTGGTGAGCGATGCAGAAATTTGCACAGTCAACCCGCTGTCGTCAATAATATGAAAGATCCAGAAGTTGAAACTGCTGCTGTCAGTAATGCTTCTTCTAGCCAAGACGTAGGTACAGCAAATTAATGACCTTATCCAATTATTGTTTTTCTTTTTATCTTTAGGTGTCGAATACAAATTCACCCATGTTGTCTAGTTCAAAATCTGGCCCAAGCACCAGTAGTAATCCTTCGGTAACATATTCTGAAACCGCTACTAAATCATGTGGTATATGCTATGACACAATTGTAGAAAAAACAGAGCGAAAAGACCAAATGTTTGGAATACTTCCCAATTGTAACCACTGCTACTGTTTCAAATGTATAATTAAATGGAGACAAAGCAAGGAATTCGATTCGGATGTGTCAAGAGCTTGTCCAGAATGTAGAAAACCATCTGACTATGTGTATCCCAGTAGAATTTGGTTCCATATCCAAGAAACTAAAGACAATTTCATAACCAAGCAAAAAAATCGAATGCAAGGAATCGATTGTAGATATTTTAGAAAAGGCCACAGCAGCTGCCCATTTGGAAATAAATGTTTGTATTTGCACGCCCTACCCGATGGTACCAAATTGGATGTGGGCCCACCAAAGGCACGCAGAAATAGAGGAGGGCATGACAATAATGACATGTTGTATCAAATTCTCTATTGGTTAAACGATGAAGATCTAGATTTTGAAGATGAGGATGATGATGATGATGATATGGTCGATGAGCTGGACTTAGATGATCCTGAAATAGCGATGCAAATGTTCGATCATGATGATATTCGTAGATATATAGCCATGGAAAGACTTATGAACGGTTCAGATACTGAAAGTGATGATATGGATTTTATGTTTCTTGATTAGGTATTTAGTTTTTTTAATTATTATTATTATTTATAAAATTGAAGGATACAGTATTTTCATATAGTTTTTTGGTTGGGTATTTATGCAGGGTACATTATTACATTTTAGTTAAAATAACTGTTTTCGTATTATGTCTAAATATCAAACTTAGCTGTAATAACCAATATGTCTGATTCATTTTGTTACTTTGCCTTAACCCTGTGTATTACCATATAATTCTCCAATGTGTTTTTTGTATCTATATGCATACTTAATCTTTAATTAATAAAGTTAATTTTCATGTTTAAATGTTTTGTTTTATTGTTTATTCATTACTAAATAAAACTGCAACTACTCCTTTGTATATAATATTTTATTTAATATTTATTTTATTACAGACTTTTGCCATATAGAGTATAGATCTAAATGGACTAATATAATTGTAATTATTAATAATATCAACTTTACATCTTTGGATAACAATTTTTGTATTCGAGTATACCGTGGTTAATTTTCATAACAATAATAATTTACGATGGAAAAACTCTTAAATGACGTAACAACGTGGATAAAATATTTGCCAAAGTCTCGGCGTGTGAAGCTAAATGCTCTTCTACAGTCTTGGGGGAGCTTCTGTCAATTTTTGACATTATAAACAATCGAAAAGCTTCTACAAGATCGTAGACGTTGGTAATCAAATTTCTGGTCTGTAGCGGGGCTGTAGTGGTATTAGTGACGAGATCTTGGCACAGTTCGGTTAGTCTTTTTAATATTGTTAAGCATATCGCTAACTTTTCAAATAAATCGGGCAGAGACGGATCTGACATGGCGATTACCAGTTGCTTACTTGAAGTTACTAATTGAAGGGATTGGTTTGTTAAGTCTTCTTTGGTTTTCTAGAAATCAAAAATATGATATTACAATCATTTCTAAGGGTGTTGTAATGAAGTTACTAAATGTTAATAAAACATTTTACCTGCATTTGCTTTTCCAATAACGAAGTGTCAGTGGTTTTAATGCGTCCAAGGCACTTAATGGAAGCTTGTTTAAGACGACTCAACAGCTCATTAAGAGCCAATTCAGTTTTTGACAGGAGCTCTTCTGAATTTGGATTTAAAATTTGTTTTTGATCATGACTAGAATCCTTTTGATTATTTGCTGCATTATCTGAGTCTACATTCAAGGGTACTACTGATATTGGAGCAGGTTTACCTAAAAACAAATCAAGTAATGCAAAACACACATTAGGCACTTGTGAAGCCAAATTCTTACCTACATATGAAGATATGGGCGTCGAGACTGCATTCTTAGCTTCTTTCAATGTTCTTTGGTCTTTAATGTCTAAATTTTTATTAGTACTTGCTTTGTCATCTTTGAATTTTGTATTGTATTCATCGTTCAACGATGAAACAAGGGGTAATTGAGGTAACTGATGTTTCTTTGGAGGTAATGCTGGACGTACCGTAATCGGCTGATTTATCAACTGATTACGTGGTGGTAGCTCAGGTGCTGGTATATTTGAAATGTCCAATGGCAAGCTGCTGAGGCGATCCCGTAAAAACTCCTTTGGAGGTCTTTCTGGTGGTTTTTCATCGAAACTTCTTCGTGGTAATGGTTTTAAAGAAGTAACTTCTCCATTGTCGGTTACAGGCTTATTAGTTCTGAGCAAAACGTCATGAAGAATTGACTTGTTTGGTTTTTGATCATTTGCTGGCTCTTCATCCCCATCATCAAAGCTCAATCTTTCAGGAGGCGGAGGTATGATGTAAGCCATGATTTCTTCTGGGGTTAACTCCATTGCAGGAGTTACTTTTTGCATGGGAAGCGGAATGCTAACGCTGGCTAGAAATTCTTCTAAATCTTGATTTTCATTTAAATCTGAAATAAAAAAAAGATAGCATAGAAACAAGAGGTGACGCCTTATTGTCCCATACACCAAGTTGGTTAGGGTAAAAGATAAAATATCATTTGATAGTCACCTAACATATTTAATCGTTCCATAGAGTCAGCAAATAGTTTGGGCGGTACACTTATAGAACTAGGTAGAGCAGAATCCAATTCGTCCGGAGTAATCGGTGGCGGGATGAACGTCAAATCAATAATATCAGGATCAAACACAAACATGCCATTAATCGATTTCAGTATATCAGACTGAACGCTAGTAGTATAATTTTCCATATCACAAATACGCTTTAAATATTGTTGAAATTCTTGTTTGTCATTGTCTAAAGTATTCGGCGATCTTAAACCGAAACTCATGTTGTTTTGCAAGTCTTCTTTTTTGAATTTCGGTGAATCGTGCGGGGTGTAGAGCGAATCATTATCGCTTTCCGATTGTATTTGTCTTAATAAATCGGTTGTGCCATTGTTGATGAGCGATTTGTTATTGTCATCTTTGTGAATTTTGTTCAGGAGGATTAATGAGTCGCTGTGTTTGAGTTTTCCACCTTCTTCGGCGTCGCTGTCGAAATCCACACTGGTTTCTTGCCATTCGGCTGAAAAGCTCAGTCGGTTGTTGGGTGGATCGTGAGAGAACTCCGTTTTGTTTGGCTAAAAGAAAATAATCATATTTTACAACTTGATATGAAGTTACAGAAGAAAACTTTCAGTGGGTAGGTACCCACTGGAAAATTGCGAATATTTACAAAAATTGATGTTCGCTTGAAAATTGCAGACATGGAGAGTTTAAATTCAATCAGGATATCCCTGTGAATGGTTTATTGTATATGTAACGCAATTCTTTTAAGGTTACCTATATGCAAACATGTAAATGGCAATAAACAGAGTCACGTTTGAAGTGTTAAACACTTGTTGTGATAAATAATACAAACAACTCCTAATAAAAGCATAAAGAAAAACAACAAATCAATGATAGAAAGAGTCATAGAAGATAGAGTAAAACCCTAGACTCGGGAAATGAAGTTGGAACAGAAGAAATGTATAGGTAAGAATAAAATCGCATCAAATAAGATAAGCTTCTATCGAGACCTATACAGTTCAAAGCAACATTTCGACGTATAGGGACATCAATAACCAGCGAAAAATATATAATATCAATATTCCGTAAATATACCAGATAGGACCGACATCAGAATTAAACTACTGTCATATTTCGTTATCACAAATATATGTACAACCAGGTTTCCATGAAAATCCTCACCAACCGTTTATCATCTAAAATGGACCGATATCAACCCAGTCGACATGCAAGGTTCCAGTATGATTTTAGTAAAAAGGAAACGAGTGGAAACCTCGTTCAGCAACGAAGACAGTGAACCAGAAACAATCGCATTAAGTAAGGAAGCATCACTAATCGAAGATACAATGAAGAACATCGCAGAAGTTGTAAAAAAACTAGAAAACCACCTTGAACAAAATACAAAAAAACAAATAGAAGACATAACTATACGTCTAAGAGAACAAGTTGACATAATGGTCGGGAAAGATGTCAAGGCATGGCTGGAAAAACACAGATATACAACAGCAGTAGAAATAGAGAGCGCGCAATACAAACGATGACAAAAGAGACGAAATAACAGGGAACACAGACTAACGAATGGAAAAAGGAAAGAAAATATATCCAACCCTAGAAGACATTACCACGTATGAGGAGTGGCTAGAAGCTGAAGGAATGGAATGGAGAGAAAACCTCTCCGCAAATACGGAAATCAAGATGGGGAACCCACTCAGGACAAAGACATCAACTGTAAAGGTGGTCATGGTTGAGCCAATAGATTTGGAAATGGAGAGGAACATACAGGCCATCTTTAAGAACAGGTACCCTGAACTAAGGGATGCTGATGAGGATTTTGCGATCCTAGATGGAAAACCAAAAGTGAGATAGCAGCCCACCAAAAAATAGTGTAACTTGTCAGACTGAAAGTGGAAATGGAGCAGGATGAGTGGGTTGCACTACTCCACTTAGAAGGTTGTGACAGTAATGACAGATTAAGGAAAATGGTGGAAGCTGTTTTCCACGCCGGCAACACTCATGTGACAATATATACAAATAAAAGCCAGGATGGAACACAAATAAAAACGCAACGGAACCGCGAAAGACCTCCGGCTCTGGTGGTCACTCAAAATGGGAAATCCTACTCACAAATTGTCAACACGATACAAGAAAAGCTCAAAGACAAAGGGGCTAGCGAAGCCATAAAGACGATCAATGGAAAAGTACTGATCACTATGGACAACAACGCTACGGCAATTAAAGACGTAAGAGAAGCTATTGAAGAGGCCGCAGGCGATATGAAGGTCAGGACAAACGGAGAAAGTAAAGAGAATTTCCATACCAGGGGTTTAGACATTACAACAACCAGAGAGGAGGTTATTACAGAGGTAGAAAAGTTCGTTGGGAAGGAAGAGCAAGGCGAGTATAATATGAGTAATATAAGGCCCAATGCAGGATACTCACAGGCAATCACACTAACGATGTGTCGAAAGAAGGCAGAATAACTTATCTAGGGCCAAAATGGAGAAAAGAATAGCAGTCACAAGATGCTATAGATGCTGGGCGTACGACCACACTATCAACGAGTGCAAAGGACCAGATAGGCAAAAGTTATGCTACAAATGTGGTAAAGAAGGACACTCAGCAAAAACCTGCACCGAAAAGGAAGCGATATGCCCAATATGTCAAGAAGAACACAAGGTGGGTTCTGCAGGATGCAGCGCCTTTTGTCGAGCGCTCTCAGTAGCAAGAAAAGATATCAGAAAGAGGAAACAAATAAGTAATACATTAACATAAACAATGAAAATCCTACAGATAAATGCAAATAGATCGCAAAAGACACATGACATGGCCTTTGTAACGGCCAAGGAGAAAAACATAGATTTAATAGTTGCGAGCGAGGCGAATCGACGACAGGTAAAGAACTCAAACTGGATAGCAGATCTGAGGATAGATGTAGCTATATACTTCATGAACAAAAATATTAAAGTGCAAAGAATAGAGAGGGGACAGAATTGTGGCCATAGCTTTTGAGACATTTGACGTCTACGGGTGCTATTTTTCACCTAACATAAAAATACAGGAATTCGAAGAAAAAATAGATACTTAAATAAAGATGATAGAATAGCATAATAATGAGACATAATAATGGGAGATTTTAACTCGAAAGCTCCGGACTGGGGATCCCCTATCACTGATGCGAGAGGCCAAATACTAATATAGAAGCAGTGGCAAGATTTGGACTAATTGCCCAAAACACTGGACACAAGCCCACTTTTGAGAGAGATCGATCGAAATCGCACATAGATATCACTTTCGCAACCCGGACAATATCAAGAAAATTCAAAGACTGGAAAATGAGCCGCTGTCCCCACATAAACATATTGTAATGGAGATAGACACAAACAATAAAACACAAACGTATATGAAAAACAAATTTCACCTAGACAGAAATAAATTTAGAGACGTGATTGAAGAAGAACTCAGAAAACGACGAAGTAAATTACAGAGTGCTGAAGAATTGCAAGAGGTAATGGAAATCGCACTCAAACGAGCCAAACAAACAATAGGAAGAAAAAGGAAGGATAATGTACCCTAGTAGTGGAGCGAGGAAATTGAAAACGCTAGAGAGGACTGCATTAAAGCCAGGAGAGCTTACTATAGAGAGATAGCTAAGGCAAATGAACAGGAAACAGCCGAGCAGAAAAAACAGGAGTACAAGGAGGCCAAAAAATACTAACAAAGCGAATTTAAGCAGCATAAAAAAACACTGGAGAGAACTATGCGAAGAGCTTAATAACGATATATGGGGACAGGGATACAAAATAGCGGCAAAAAGGCTTGTAGGCACACCATTTAAAAAGACAAACGAAAGAAGAAGGGAAGAAATAGAGTATCTTTTTCCGAACAGGGAGGACTGTCTACCAGAGAGAATGCCGACTGCAACTCCAAGAGATTTCACTATAGAGGAAATAAAGAATGCGGCACAGAGGTTGGAACCCGGCCCAGACAGAATTCCGCATGAGGTGGTTAAAGAGCTGATCAAGGTTGCACCAAAACCAGTTCTGGAACTTCTGAATGACCTACTGGCTCAGCAAATTGTCCCTACGACTTGGAAGGAATCCAAAACTGGTACTCATCCAAAAGCCAGGAAAACCTATGGAAGATCCAGGATCTCACAGACCACTATGCCTCACAAAAGTTGTTTGAGCAGATGATAAAGGCTAGGCTAATAACAGAACTGGAGAGAAAATGCCCAATAGCCAGAAACCAATATGGCTTTCAAAAAGGAAAATCGACAATACAGGCGGTGAAACATGTCACAGATATAGGAATAATAATGAGGACTGGAGGAGTAGTAGAACACCATCTTTCTCCTTTAGCACTGGTAACTCTAGACGTAAGAAGTGCGTTCAATACCGCTTCCTGGGCAATAATTCTGAGAGAACTGTATCGCCGGAAAGTGGACAGAATATAATTAGGAACTACTTCAAGTATAAAAACAGAGGGGGACACTAGAGTTTTGACAGCGGAAATACCACAGGGATCTGTACTGGGGCCGCTTCTATGGAACGTTTTCTATGACCCCGTCCTCTCGGCTATGCAGATGACCTGGCGCTGGTGGAACAGCGAAAAATAGGGAACAGCTTATGGAGAGAATGGATGGGGCACTGGAGATGGTGAAGATATGGATGCAGGAAAACCACATGAAATTGGCACCATAAAAGACTGAAGCGGTAATCCTAAGCGGAAAAAGGAGCAAATATATTTTAAGATGGAAGGAGCACAGATAAGACCAGCGAAGTCAATCAAATATCTAGGTATACATATTGGAGAAAACCTATAGACAATATATAAAAAAAATTCATGCTAAAAGCAGGGAAAAGCCTGGCCTCACCCAGTAGGCTGATGCCAAACATTGCGGTTCCTACATACACCTTGCAGTCGATAGTTCCATACGGAGCGCCCATATGGGGGGAAAAATTATGAACATTGAAAAATACAGGAAGAAACTGGAGAGTCTACAAAGAAAAGCACTAAATAGAGTAGCGTGCGCATATAGGACAATTTCTACAGAGGCGATTCAAGTAATATCTGGAGTCACCTCCATTGACCTAGCCATAAAAGAGAGAGAGGAAATATACCAAACTGGAATAGGACACCTTGAAGAGTGTTACGATAAATTTATCATTTACGTAACATGTTCCACCTCTTCTTATTTTCATTATAAAGTTGTATTTTTGCCATTTCAGAATCAGGTTAATAATAATTCATAATCTAAAAATATCCACAAAGTTCGATATAATACCAGTACGGCCATCTATCCAGCATGGGCATAAAATGCAAATATCTATTATTAAACGAAGGTACTGCCATCTAGTACCTGATAGATTTATTTTTCAAAGTATGATTTTAATTATTTCGCATTTGACAGTCATTTGTATTTTCATTGAAAGGAATTCTTTTTATCTCACTATTAGCAAATGGATATATTTCTGTCTTTCTCTAACTTCTGATTCTGAAATAATCATTTTTGGCCTAATGACCTAATTAATTAGCAGTTTTTTGTTTTTAACATTACCTTAATTTAAATTAT